TAATTATTAATAATAATTATTATTAATAATAATAATAATAACAACCTTTTTTAATGTTGTCGGAATCATCAGTGGAATTGCTCACTCTTCCACTGGAAAGCAAACAGGCTTCTGATCTGGTCTGCAAAACTCACATGAATAAGTATAACCACCAAATCCGATCTACCCACCAACAACACACTACTATAAGGGACACATGCAACAGATAAATGCTATTCAAGGAGACAACTCAAGTGTATTTGATCTTTTTACTGAAGTTCATACTATTATGTGATTTTGTTCTAATGCAGATTGCATATACCGGAGACTACTGAAGTCATTTACCACCTTAAACGAATATCTGGTATCTCTGAAACCATACATTTCCAGTATTTACACACATATTAGGCTTAAAAGACAACATTTTATCCTGATCAGATCAGTTGACTTCCTCTTAGACACAAAACTGCTCTCTGAGATGTTTTTTTACACCAATAATGATATACAGGCCTCAGAAGTAGCCTCTCATCCATCTGTAAAATCATGACTGCAAGATACTTTCATCCATCAATATGCTGACTCCTCAGAGGATCTCCTTCCCTCTGAACGCCAGGCATACTTTGAATTTTGACACTTTGCACTGAATAGGATGGGAAGACCGTATGATATCAACAACAAAACACAGTATAAAAATTGATTTCCTGCTCAATTAAAGCAGACAATTTCTCTGTCTCTCCTATGAAGTTCTAGGAGTTCCTAAGGTACAGCTCCATGACCAGTGGCAACAAAGCCTTGCAAGCAGGAATTAATTAGACAAAGAGAAAAATCTTTGGACCTCTCACCCAAAGATTCTTCTTTTTCCATAGTTTTTGTCTGTAGGCAATATGAAGATTTAAAAATAGCCCCCAGCCTGACCTCCCATTGTCCAGCTTAGAACTCTAAGACCAGAGCAACAACTTTGCTTTGAGTCTTTTGGGAGATACAAGTACACAAGAAGAAGTTTTTTGCACCTTCGAAAGCCAGAGAAGCAAGTGAGCCAGTAACCACTAAAAACCACTTCTTCAACACGACTGCATCACCTCTATGCGAGAGTGTACCACACTGTCTGCACTCCTGCTCTGTTCCTCCTTCCTCTAACCTTTCTCTTCCAGCCCTCCTGGCTTTTTTTCAACTCCCAGCATTTCACCCCACATCACTTAGCTGTCCTAACGAACAACAATCGTTCAAGGGATGGGCTAGAGAATAACAAATAAGAACTTTAAGCCATGAAATCTATGTCAATGTTTACAGAGGGCAGCTTTCTATGAAATACAGCGGTGACTAAATGAGCCAAAAAAACATATCTATCAGCTACTTTGAAACACAAATCGTTTGTAAACAACATCTCATCTCTCTGGAAGCCTAGAAGTGAAACAGTATTTTCAGACTCCCTCAGGAGAGAACGAGAAAAAGCAGACACACACTTAAAGGTTTCAGTCTGAAAAATATGCTTGACTGAAAAACATTTCTGTTGACTGCTTAAAGCTTCAAATGCAACAACATCAAGTTTTAAAATTCTTTCCTAAAACTAACATTTAAATGCAGTAACCCACAGATTCTTCCCATTCAAGCTTTGTGTTTTAAGGTGATTTCCACAGGAAGAGCATTTTTATTTGCCCTATGATATGTGACAGCTGGGAACAGCACCAGACATCTGCCATCATTCTGACTTAATCTACTACAGTTTTGAAAATATAGACAATTCTGTAGAATTACTGCACACTCTCATATATTCACTACTAACTTATCCGGCTGACTTGGGCTTTTTTGTTTGTTTTGGGGGTGCGGACAAGATACATTTTATAGTTGCTTAAAACCAAGACTGGAGTGAGAACTAATAAACTGTCCTGTTTTAATAGGCTACAAAACATGCAGAACAGGGAAACAAACCAGATCCATCAGCCAGACTAGGCTAGCACACAGATGGTTGACCTAGTAGTGAAGTGACACCTCCCCAGGATAACGTAAAGGTACAAGTGCTTTTAAAGTGTCTCTGCACAGTTACTGTCCTACCAGACAGGCATATCGTAACCAGGGAAAAGAAGAAAGTTGACTCAAAATAATCCAGAAAGTCTTAAAATATAGAAGTTTATTTAGCTACAATATTAAAAAGTACAATATAAAGATATAAAACATAGAAATTCCATAATTAATTCACATACTAAAAGGATTAACTGACCAGCCGTAAGGAGGAAACTTCATGAAATTTACAGACATCTTAGCCAAAAAGGCTATTTCATCAAAGTTCAGACTTGAAATACTGAACAACCATTGCAGACAACTTGCTCTCCCACATCAGCATAACTAGGGGGGGAAAAATATAAAAAAAGAAGAAAACCAAAATAAACAAAGTCAGTATGTCTACTAGTTCTGCAACGTAACAAAGAATGCCATCCTATTCTGTTACCAACTGTAACAATGGGACTCTCACACAGCACACTCAGTACTTCTTTATATCACAGAACTGTTAACAATGATGACAAAAACTCAAGATTGCTTCTTGGGAGAGCATTAATTCATCACTGGGAAGGTATACTACGTTGCTGGCAAGAAAGCAAGAGGGATTTTTGCTTTCTAGAACATTTAAATAAGAAGCTAAACTAGACTTGTACTGAGATTGATCAGACTAGTTCACATGGGCATTTTATTTTCCATGCTCCACATAGCTCTTAAAGTAGCACAAGAAGAGTTCAAGTCGTTTATGCAAATGAGCTAGATAACTGTTGAGTCCTCATATGCTATGACATATATATTTTCTGAGCATTTTCAGAGCATATATAATTAAAATAAGCTTAAAAATTCAAAAGGCACTTACTCGACAGTGGAGCACAAAGAACAGGTAACGGTGTTACAGCAGCTGCAGAGCCTGCTGCAGTTCTGGCAGACAAACTGGTCACACTGTGTACACGCTTCCTTGACATCAGCAGTTCTTACACACGATGAGCAGGCTTTGGAAACTCCCACGGGTGGAACTGCTTGGAAAAGAGATGTATTATTTACAGCAACACAGAGAAATCACCTGGAAGTTCTAAGAACTGCAGAGAGCAGTCTCTCTGCTCAGCACCACGGCTACAGGTGGCAGCACTTTGCAGACACCAGCACTACTTATCACTTTCGTTGGGTATTTTTTTGCTCAGTGTCACAGAATTGTCAGAGTTGGAAGGGACCTCTAGAGATCACCTAGTCCAACTCTCCTGCTAAAGCAGGATTGCCTAGAGCACATCACACAGGACTGCATCCAGGAGGGTTTTGAAAGTCTCCGAAGAGGAGGCTCCACAACCAACCTGGGCAGCCTGTGCCAGTGCTCCGTCACCCTCACAGTAAAGAAGTTCTTCCTCACATTTAGATGAAATTTCCCGTGTTCCATCTTGTGCCTGTTGCCTCTTGTTCTGTCGCTGGGCGCTACTGAAGAGTGCGAGTCCCTCCTCCCTGCACTCACCCTTTAGATATTTATAGATGTCGTGACCACCTAGAGATTCTCAAGCAGGCCGGGTTTCGAAACCCACCGGCAAAGCTCAAATCTAACAGTTCCTTTTGAAAAACAGACAGCACGGAACCGCGGA